AAGATTTACAGCCTTGGAAACCCTATGGGGCAGTTCTCCTCTGTCCTATAGGGTCACTATGAGTAGGAATTGACTTGACGGCAGTGGGTTTGGTTTTTTTCAGATTCTGAATTACTTGTGTTTGAAATTTTTACATATGAGTGGTTATTCCTTTTCTAATCATAATCTACCAATAAAGATTGTTATTTTTATTATTTTCAAAGAACTGTTGTCTGTAATCAGAGTCTTCTTAGATTTAAGAACATTATCCAGAAGAATGCTTTTACTCTTTGCTGGTCTAGTGTGTATGTTAAGTGAAAAATATACCCTATCTAGGCTGAAGAATGGAGAGATGGATTGATATGCATGCCTCAATCCCTGCCCAGATGTCTCACATTCTCTTTTTCCCAATTTTCCTGATTCAAACTGACCTTGTAACTAGCCAGTGTTGTCAGCAACACATATTAACAATGAAAAAAAATTTAGTATGTCTTACGGAATACTTGAGACATACAGTAAAAGAATTCAGTGTTTATCTAAAACAAACAATGTAGGTTGTTTACTGTAAGTATGCTCCATATATCTTTTTTGTTGTTTTCTAAATTTAAATTTAGATTTTATCCCCCTATTTTCAAATTTAACTGTGTGTCCTGTATTTTTATTTACTAAACCTGGCAACGCAAGTTACAGGGCAAGGATATTCCAAGCTGCAGTTGGAGTCAGCAATGTAAATATAGTTTTAGGACTCAAAAAACAAACAACAACAACAACAACAACAACTGGGAAAAAAACACGAGGCAAATTGCATGATGTCTCTGTCGATTTCCTCATTTCTGAAATAAGATGTAATAATACTTATTTTACTTGTATTAGAAGAATAGTATGAGAGTTACTTGGGTTAGTTCTACCAGAATGCTTTTTAAATGGCAAAGCAATATATAATACATTACCTTTTGTTCTTCTCTTGAAGCTTAAAGCTCTATAACTGAACTATGAAAGACGATTCTAATATAAAAGTCAAATATACCATATTTCCATCAGTTTGAAAATCATCTTTTGCTCTCCATTTGCAGCTTTTCTTTTCACAAACGTCCCAGCAAAACAAACATATATCCTTTTTGGACACTAATTTAAGTCATTATTCTTTTGAAAGTGAGAAGAGAATCTAAATGAAAAGCAACAGTTTGCTAAAAAAATAATATTCATACCTACAATGTTGCTGTTAGGTGCTATTCAATCGGCTCTGTCTTGTAGTGACCCTATGTACAACAGAACAAAACACTGCCCAGTCACCTTTCTTTGGAATGGGCACAAATATGGATCTCTTCCAGTCGGTTGGCCAGGTGTCTGTCTTCCAAATTTCTTGGCATAGACGAGTGAGCACCTCCAGTGCTGCATACCTTTGTTGAAACATCTCAGTTGAGTATTCAGTCAATTCCTGGAGTCCTGTTTTTCACCAGTGCCTTCAGTGTAGCTTGGACTTCTTCCTTCAGTTCTTTATCATATACTACCTCCTGAAATGGTTGAACGTTGACCAATCCTTTTTGGTACAGTGACTCTGTGTATTTCTTCCATCTTCTTTTGATGCTTCCTGAGTCATTTTGCCCACAGAATCCTTCAAAATTGAAATTCAAGCCCTGAGTTTTTTCTTCTGTTCTTTTCAGTTTGAGAAATGCTGAGCATATTCTTCTCTTGGTTTTCTAACTCCAGGTGTTTGCACACTTCATTATAATATTTTACTTTGTCTTCTTCAGTTGCCCTTTGAAATCTTCTCTTCAGCTCTTTTACTTCATCATGTCTTCCATTTGCTTTAGCTAGTCTATGTTAACAAGCAATTTTCAGAGTCTCTTCTGTCATTCACTTTGGTCTTTTCTTTCTTTCCTGTCTTTTTAATGACCTTTTACTTCCTTCATGTATGATGTCCTTGATATCTTCCTACAACTCATCAGGTCTTCCATCATTAGTGTTTAGTGTATCAAATCTATTCTTGAGATGGCCTCCAAATTCAGGTGAGATATACTCAAGGTCATATTTTGGCTTTTGTGGACTTGTTTTAATTTTCTTCAGCTTTAACTTGAACTTGTATATGAGCAATTGATTGTCTGCTCCGCAGTTGACCCTGGCCTTGTTCTAACTGACGATATTGAGTTTTCCATCATCTCTTTCTACAGATGTAGTTGATTTGATTCCTGTGTTTTCCATTCCGTGAGGTCCACCTGTATAGTCACTGCTTATGTTGTTGAAATAAGGTATTTGCAATGAATAAGTTGTTGGACTTGCAAAATTCTGTCATGCTATTTCCAACAACATTTCTATTACCAAGGTCATATTTTCCCGCTACAATCCTTCTTCTTAATTTCCAACTTTCACATTCCAATCACCAGTAATTATCAATGCATCTTGATTGCATGTTTGATCAATTTCAGACTGCAGAAGTTGGTAAAAATCTTCAATTTCCTCATCTTTGGCATTAGTGATTGGTGCATAAATTTGAATAACAGCCATATTAACTGGTCTTCCTTGTAGGCATACAGATATTATCCTATCACTGACAGCATTGTACTTCAGGATAGATCTTGAAATGTTCTTTTGACCGTGAACATAAAGCCATTCCTCTTCAAGTTGTCATTCGCGGCATAGTAGACCATAAGCTTGTCTGATTCAAAATGGCCAATACCAGCTGAAATGGCCTGGTATTGGCCATATCTACAATAAAAATCTATTTTCTGAGTTTTAGTGTTAGAACAGGAAGAAAAAGACTATGGAGGGAGTTCAAGGAAACTGTTATTCTTTTATCTACAAATTTAGATACCTTTTGAGGTATAAAGTCATCATGGAAATTCACAAGCATGTATAGATCTAAATAGAAAGGAAGTTTACATCAACGACCAAAAAAAAAAAAAAAAAAAGTTGAATTGGCAAAAGTTGTGTAATAGATATATTTACAACAATGACAAAAAAAAAAAAAAAAAAAGTAGCTGCTGAGCCTGCTTATGTGCAACCAAACACTTCATGGGATTTGCTTCCTTGGTTTGGAGGTTCAAGGTCATGGTTTCATGATACATCCCAGTTAATTAGCCTAATGATGTGTTTAGTGCTTTCGTTCCACCTCTTTGTTAGTTGTGTAGTGCCCGGGGTCTGAAAAGCTTGCAAGTGGCCATCCAAGGCACAATAATGGTCTCTATTTGCCTGGAACAACAGAGGAAGAAGGAGAATTGGAATAGGAGGAGGATATGGAATGTGTGGCTAACTGCCTCCATGAACAACTGCCTCCTTTGCCATGAGACCAGAAGACCTGGATGGTGCCTGGCTACCATTACTGAACCTTTTGATCAAAGATTCCATGGAAGAATTCTGATCAAAAGGGAGAAAATGTAGAACAGACCTTCAATTTCTCATGGATTACAGACTTCCTGGAGCCATGGAGGATGGATAACCCCCTGAAACTATCGCCCTGAGATAATCGTTAAACCTTAACCCAAAAATATCCCCAGAAGTCTTCTTGAAGCCAAACAATAATAAATAAATAAAAATAAAACCTGAACTCAATGCTGTCAAGTCAATTCCAACTCACAATGACCCTGTAGGACAGAGTAGAATTGCCCCCTAGGGTTTCTAAGGCTGTAATCTTTACGGAAGCCAACTGCCACATCTTTCTCTCACAGAGCTACTTTTGGGTTCAAACCGCAGACCTTTCAGTTAGCAGCCAAGCGCTCAACCGTTATGCCAGCAGGGCTCCTGACAAAGCAAACAGTAGTTTAGCTTAACTAGTAAAAAAAGGTCTGCCTTGAGCATTATGCTCATTTAAGAACTATCTACGTGGGATCACATTGATAACAGCAATTCGAAAGATTAAATAGGAATCTTAGGGAGCAGTGAGCTTATGTTATTGGAGGAACGACTCAGAAAAGGAGGGTTGCGCAACTGGAAGAATGTAATCAATGTCACTGAATTGTATATCTAGAAACTGTTGAATTGGTGTATGTTTTGCTGGCTATATTCTTAACAACAGGAAAATGAAAAAAAATTAAAGAACAAATAAATAGAAAGGCCACGAAAATCATGTGACACGGCCCTTTTGGCCAATCAGTTAGTCAGGCTGGGCACAATGCCAGCAAATTGCAAAGCCATTTGTGTAGGTAGCAAACTTTTAGAGTCAGCCACTCCTGCACCCTGGTGGAGGGCTCTGCTAATCAAATTGTCCACTCTACCTTAGACACTAAGGACAAATTTCCCTCTTCACTAGGAGTGGAAACATCTAGTCCTTAATGAGTTCCCCCGGTTTTTCTAATTTATCAGCTTAAAAAAAAAAAAAACCAAACCCACTGCTGTTGAGCGGATTCCAAAACATAGCGACCCCATAGGACAGTAGAACTGCCCCATAGGATTTCCAACGCTGTAAATCTTTATGGAAGCAAACTGACACATCTTTCTCCTGTAGAGCAGCTGGTGGGTTGAACTTCCCATCTTTCAGTTAGCAGCCCAGCGGTTAACCACTGTGCTACCAGAGCCCCTTTTAACAGCGTCCCCAAATCCACTGCCATCCAGTAGGTTCTGACTCATAGCCACTCTGTAGGATAGAGTAGAACTGCACTCCCATAGGGTTTCTAAGTCTTTAATCTGATGAAAACAGCCTGCCACGTCTTTCTGCCGCAGAGCGACTGGTGGGTTCGACCAGGCAGCCTTTGTGTTAGCTGCCGAGCGCTTTAACCATTGAGACACCAGGGCTTAGTTTTGTCAACTTAAGGTGAATCAAACATTTCAAAAAAACGTTGCAAGGCTGTGCGATAACACGCGTGTTTTCAGCCTTCTGACAGCTGATGCGGAGACGAGCTGCGCGGTGACGTCACGGCGTCCGGAGCCCTCGCTCCTTAGAGCCTTCCAAGGCCGCTCCGCCCCCGCCCAACTCAACGCTAAGAGCCGCTCTCCGGCCGGGTCTCCTTGGCAACCACTAGCTCCGCCCCCTCCGCCCCTTTAACCTTTAGGGTGTGCGGGCGCCGCGTCCCTGGCACTCTCTCACGGTTCGCTCTCCCTTTTCCCCACCCCCTTCGCTCAGGGTGGCCCGGCCGGAAACTAAGATGGCGGCGGCCACGGTAGCTGCTGGCGCTGCTTCGGTGGAGCTGGTGATCGGCTGGTGCATATTCGGGCTCTTACTACTGGTAGGGGAGGCGCTTGGAGTTTTTCCAGTGTTTAGACTGGTGGGAGGAAGGGAGGGGCCGATTCTGCAGCTGTCCTCTCCAGGCCCTGGAGACCCTTCTCGTCCCGCCCCACCCCGCTTTTGGCTGGGACTGTGGGGGGCTCCTCTGTGCCTGAGGGTGGGGGGCGGCGTTGGGAAGGCCCGGGGGGGCACTGATTTGCGGTTGGTTTTGGTTTCTTTCCCTGATGATGTCTGATGCTGCAGGTTTCTTTTCTCCAAACCTTGCTCTCACCCCTGACTTGGACACTGCGGGCAGTGGGGATGGGAGACGGAGGAGACCCTCGAGGGTGAAAAGGGTGTGGTCACCCCTCTGGTCCCCTGTTACACTGGGGCTCTGGGTGTGCGGCGGCGATGCCGGATCTTTGCGAGCTCAGTAGAAACTGATGATGATCTAGAAGGGGGCCTCATCGTTGTCTTAATGTCTTTTTTGGCGTTCCTTAGCCCTGGGTTCAGTAAGTCTCCAACCTTCTCTGCCCATTGTGCGATTCTGCCTTGATGACGTGAGTTGCTCGTTCTGACTTCCAGGTTTCAGCTCCCTTCCAACCTTTTTCGATAGGTGTAGAAACCTGGGTAGGGATGAACTATAGCCTCTTTACAGCCAGTATCAGGGTATACTGCTAGATACGTAATACCTCAGCCTTATTTCCCGGCCATCCTATTCTCACTTACTCAATGATTAAAAAAAGCAAAAAAAAAAAAAAAAAAAAACAACAAACGTGGGCTGTAATGGCCCAAAGTGGCCTGGTTATTACCTTCCTATGCCATTAATAAAACGCTTGGGTTTATTTTGGAAGTCAGTTTGTTTCTTCTTGTAGCTCTCCTCATTCACACTCTTTCATCACTGTCTCCATCCAGTCCAGTTGCTATTTCCTGTCTCTATGTATTTTACCCTCTTGCATTACAAAAAAAAATACTTCAGAACTTAAGACTTGTTTGTGATTTTACTCTACCAGATTCCTATGTTTATTAGCATGTTCTGCTAACAAATTTCTGCAGCAGAGAGCCTACAAAGAAAAAAAAAGATAATATTGTGTTAAAATTTAAGAAGAGACCTGTCTTGTTACCTTAACTTTCACAGAAAACTATACTGCCTTACACTGGAACATACCTTACTCTTCTCAGTGGAGGAAGTGCAGACTCTTGGCTGTCATCTCCAGAGTTATCCAGTCCTGCTCTTGGAGAGTTCACTGGCTTTTCCAGTCCACCAGGTTCAGTTGGTTTAGAAGAAAACAAAAGAGCAAGTAACCAGTATCCAAGTAAAATAAGAAGATCTTGGTAGTTATTAATCAACATCTAAGGTACAGCAGTTGTGCTGTAAATTGTAGGAAGATGCAGATGGCATTAAACATGGCCTTTAAGAGGGCTAGTAGATAGGTGAGGAGTCCCTGGATGGTGCAAACACTTAACTGCTCCTCTGCTAACTAAAAGGTTGGAGGTCTGAGTTCACCCAGAGGTGCATCGGAAGAAATGCCTGTAGATCTACTTCTGAAAAATCAGCCATTGAAAACCCTATGGAGCACAGTTCTACTCTGACACACATACAGCCTCCATGAGTTGTAATCGACTCAACGGCAACTGGTTTGGTTCTGGTTTTTTGATCTTGATTCACGCTAAGGCGCCAGCAGTTTTACACACCACGGCTTATGCATCATGAATGCAAGTGTAAACACAGTGAACCAGGCAAATAATGACTTAGTGTTATTATGAAAACAGTTTTCAATTTGCAAATTCCCAAAAAGGGTTTCAGGGACTGCCAGGAGTCAGGGGGCTCCATGCTTTGAAAACTACTGCCAACAATTACTAAAGAATCAGAACCCTAATGTTTACTATTTTTGTGATGTTGGGCAAACAGAGTGGACTTCAGTTTCTTCTACCACATAAGGAAAGGTTAGAATTGGTCCCTCTAAGCCTGTAATCTTATTGTTTACTATGTCAAATCCAAATTGTTCTACCTAGCCACCGAGGACCTCAATTTGACTCACACCACCTTTCAAATTGCATTTCATATTAGCTCTACAAGACAGTCTCAGTGTCTATAAAGCAAGTTTACTCTTCTACTCAAAGTGTGGGCATCACCTGGTAACATGTTACAAATACAAAATATAAGACCCCAGACCTGAATCAGAATCTTAGTTTAATAAGATCCAGGGTGTATGTATGCTCACTAGTTTAATAAACAGTCATTTATTCTTACTCCTTCCTCAACCACAGTGGTTCTAAACCTCGACTGCTCATTAAAATCACTGAAGGAGTTTTTAAAAATCCCAATGTGCTTACTAATTAAATCAGAATCTCTTGGGAAATTGAGGGCCTGCTCTAAATCTTTCCTTATAGTTGTTAACAAAGTTATATATTAGTTTGTTTTATAAAATACTCTTAAATGTTATTATCTCATATGACATTTAATAACAGTTGCTGTTGTTAGGTGCCGTCGAGTCGGTTTTGACTCACAGCGACCCTGTGTATAACAGAGCGAAACACTGCCCAATCCTGCGTCATCCTCATAATCATTGTTATGCTTGAGCCCATCGTTGCAGCTACTGTGTCAGTCCATCTCATTGAGGGTCTTCCTCTCTTTCGCTGACCCTCTACTGTACCAAGCATGATGTCCTTCTCCAGGGACTGGTCACTCCTGATAACATGTCCAAGTAGTAGTAACAGCTGCTACTACTTGCTAAGTAGTTACAATAGTCAGGCACTGTGCTAAACTCTTTAGATCTTATTTAATCCTTATAACCTGCTATGAGAGAAGTATTTTTATTCTCATTTTATAGATGAAAACACTGGTTTATTTTATGATACAGTAACTATTGATAGATATAACCCACAGAAACAAAAAAGCTCTTTGGGGTTCTCGGCTTTAAAACTGTAAAGGGACCTTGAGACCAAAATGTTTGAGAAACTCTAGCTTACCTTTTCTGCTTAGTTTGCCCCTTGCCTGCTTGTCTGCCTGGTTTTGATAAATTCCTTTCTCTACCATAATACTCATCACTCTGAACTTTATAAAATTGCAGATCTTCTTTCGTTCTTGAAATCCAACAGAATATTATTGACCACTTTGTGTCAGGTACTACTAAGGATACAAAGATGAGGCTCAGCTCCCAATGATTTCAAAATAAAATTGAGGAATGTCCAGAATATTTATGAATTAATTTAAAAACAAACCCATGAAAATATAAAAAATACCTGTATTTCCTAAAACAAACCAAAATAATAATTAGTTGAGTCAGAATTTGAAAAAAAAAGCAGGTCTTTGTTTTGCTCCAACATCCAGGTTCTAAACTTAATTCCCTTCTCACTTTTTTTTCTTGCTGCTTTATTAGCACTGTTTTCTTTCTTGTTGTTCTGTTAGCTATATTTCAGCAATATGAAGGAATGATATACAACAACTTGGATGTTGTATGTTTCTATATATATTTCAGATGCATACTATATATATTCATGACATGTATTTCAAATGCATACTATGTATACACAACATACTGTATAAAAAGACAATACAGTGTATAAACTTAATTACGACATTCTAGATAAGGCAAAGGAGCCCTGGTGGTACAATGATTAAGGTCTTGGCTGCTAACTGAAAGGTCAGTGGCAGTTAGAACCCACCAGTGACTCTGCGGGAGAAAAGACCTGGCAGTCTGCTCCCCATAAACATTACAAACCAAACCAAACCCATTGCCATCTAGTCAATTATGACTCATAGTGACCCTATAGGACAGGGTAGAACTGCCCCGTAGGGTTTCCAAGGCTGTAAATCTTTACTACGGAAGCAGACTGCCACATCTTTCTCCTGCAGAGTGGCTGGTGGGTTGGTGGGTTCAAACTGCTGACCTTTCAATTAGCAGCTGAGTGCTTTAATCACTGTGCCACCAGGGCCCCTTCCCATAAACATTACAGCCTTTTGAAACCCTATAGAGCAGTTCTACTCTGTCCTATAGGGTCGCCAAGTGTCAGAATCGACTGGATGGTACACAACAACAGCAGAAAAGGCAAAAATGTAGGGACAGATAAGAGTGGTTGTCAGGGACCAGACAGGGAGAGGATTTGACTGCAGAGGGGCAAAGGATAATTTTTGGGACGTGAAACTGTTCTTTTCTCTGGATTGTGGTGGAGTAAGAGAATTTGGAACCTGTGAAACTAGTTAGGTGGTTTTATTAGTCCGTTCCAGCCTCCTGAACTAGGATGATAGACTAAAAAGGAAGTAACCAATACCCTTTGAAAAGAGTTGAAAGGACAGAGCAAGGCTTTATGGAGTTTATTTAGAACAGTTATTCTCAAATTTGGTTTACATTGGAATCTTTTAAAAGACATTTATAGTACTGATGCCTGGAGGGGCCTCATCTTGTGATTGATTAAATCGACTTTTAGGGAAGGGCATAAGGGTATTTGAAAATTACCTAGGTGATTCTAACACATAGTTAAGATTGAGACCTTCTGATCCAGTATCTGTCTGCAATCCCCTATAATTGAGTAGAGCAGAGGTTCTCAGTGTAGATCCTGGACTAGCAGCAACACCACTTGGGAACTTGTTACGAAAGCATATTTTCAGGCCCCATCTCATACCTTTTGAATCAGAAAATCTGGGGGCAACACTTAGCAGTCTCTCTTTTAACAAGCCCTCCAGGTGAGTCTGATGCTCTTGAGAATGACTGGAATAAAGTCTTACCCTTGTGTTAGTCACTTGAAAGGTCTAGTAACTACTGAAAGTACCTGGTTGATTAGAGGTCCCAACCTCAGTATCTCAGAGTGTCCTTGTTTCTTTGGAAGGCTCTTTGGTAACTATTGAGAGTAGTACCTGGTTGATTAGACATATCAACCTCAGTACTTCAGAGTGTACTTGTTTCATTGGAAGGCTCTTTGCTATGCACATGTAGCCATTTTCAGTGTTTATTTTTCTTTGCTTAATGTTGTTTAAAATTTGAATTAAAGTATAATATGTTAACTGCATAGTGATTATTGGCAGTTAATCTTTAGCTAAATAGTACTCCTGAACTGTCGTAATAGGGCAGAAGCTAATTTTAGTCCAAGTTATATTCTATGATGCTTCAGTAATAAGCCTAGGGTAGAACACCTAGTTATATCTCCTTTAGATTGGAGAGATACACAGGGAAGAAGTATCCAAAGCTAGCTATAACTTTGATGTTATGTGAAACATTAATGTTTGTACTATCTTTCATTAGGATATATGTAACTGAGCACTGTTATTAATAACTTTTTCCTATTTGTTTATGTGTGTGTGCATGTGCCTAAGTGAGGTTGCACTACATTTATGAAATAGGCCTTGAAAATTCTAAATCTGAACTAGTTTATAAGGCGTAGTGAGTGAGCTTTCCTTACACATAGCTAGAAGAACCTTTACTGGACGTTTGAACAGCTCATTGGAAACTTTCAAACACATTAACATCAGTTTTAGAAAATACATAGGGTAGTAACAAAGCATTTCTTTTTGTTCTATTTCAGGCTATTTTGGCATTTTGCTGGATATATGTTCGTAAATACCAAAGTCAGCGGGAAAGTGAAGTTGTCTCCACCATAACAGCAATTTTTTCTCTGGCGATTGCACTTATCACATCAGCACTTCTACCAGTGGACATATTTTTGGTTTCTTATATGAAAAATCAAAATGGTACATTTAAGGTAATTATTATCATATCATACAATATGATTCTTTTCCTTTCATATTAATTCCTTAATTGGCAATTATAGTGTTTAAGTTTAGCAGTCCAGTATATATTGTGTTTTATTTTTGGCTCTGGGAATAAATGAGAATGGAAATGCAGCATAAAGGCTGAGACTGGGACAGTTATACGCTGGAGAACTAGAAGCAGATAACTATATACTGACATAAGAACTATTCAGCCACCTTCCAAATGTGAAGAAATGTCTTTTGTTATTCTGAAAATATTTTATGTAATCATAATAGGTTTTATTTTTGTGCCTCTCATGGTTCCCTTGAAGTCTATTAGACTTGAGAAATCTTTGACTTGATTTACATTAATGCTTATAATTTAGAAGGGCTTTTGTTAGTGGCAAATCAAGCTCTTACTCTCAGTTTTAATACTGAGTACTTTGAGTCAGTATGTGTTTTGATCACCCCTTCTCCATCGTGTTGATGAGGAAAGAATTCCTGCTCTAGGGTTGTGGAGATGGACAAACACATCACACCCGACACTGCACAGATGAGATCGATAGCAGTTTATTAATCACGTATACTCACAGCCCCAGAGGAGGAGGACACCACACACCTCATAGGGCCACATGGGAGATACACCTGGGAACAGAGTGAACAACCAGGGGCTCTGGAGGCAGGCTTAGTAGTATCAGGAGGATGGGATGTCCCTGGTTCCTCTAGGAGGATATGATTGGCTTGTTTGAATAATTCTGTGGGCTAGCAGGGAGCTGAAGCCCACTGTTCAGGGATAAGCAAGAACTGTGCCTGGATGGAGAATTGTCTGGCTAGATGACCTTATTCTCGGGGACAGAGTGGGGAGGGGAAGTTTGGTTAGACAATGCAAAGCCTCCCAGTCTTGCCAAATGTCAAGGCAACACATAGTAATGAACCATAGTTTTTAGGTCTTGTACCACAGTATGGTGTAGTGAAAAGAGACCACTACACTGAGAATTGTAAGATTTGAGTTCTAGTCTTGACTCTTAACTGTCAAGCTATCTACCTTTGACCAAATCACTTAACTTCTTTGAACCTCAAGTTCCTCATTTTTAAAATTAAAGGTGTGGTGGAAGGTTTCTGACTTCCCTTTCAATTATGCAAGTTACTTTTAAAGTTTCTTACCAGCTTAAGCTTCTATGGGGCTGGAACTGCATCTTGTTTACTCTTATATCCTCAGTGTCTAGCACATAGTAAAAAAAAAAAAACAAACCAACCATTGCCGTCGAGTTGATACGACTCATAGTGACTGTATAGGACAGAGTAGAACTGCCCCATAGGGTTGCCAAGGAGTGCCTGGTGGATTCGAACTGCCGACCTTTTGTTTAGCAGCCATAGCTCTTAACCACTACGCCACCAGCACATGGTAGATACTTAAATATTTTGAATAAAGTAGTAGTATTTCAATTATCTCAATAATGCATGGTTCATAAATAACTTCCTGAACTGGGAAAACTGGTTTAAATAGTTTGATAATGTTTTTGCAGTTAGGTTTAGATATATTCAGATTGTTGTTCAAACTACGGTTATTTTCTGTAGGTCAGTCATTCATACCTTAAATATAATTGAACACCTAGTATGTACCAAACACTCTGCTGTTATCAAGATAGTAGCCAACATCTATTGAATACTTACTATATATCAGACCTTGTCCTAAGTGTTTCACATATACAGTAGTCGCCCCTTATTCATGGGGGATACATTCCAAGACCCCCATAGATGACTGAAACCGTGGATAGTACCAAACCCTGTATATACTATGTTTTGTCCTGTACATAACACTGGGTACAATAAGAGATTAGCAACAATTACTAATAATAAAGTAGAACAATTGTAACAATATACTGTAATAAAAGTATGTGAATGTGGTTCCCAGGCGGGATGGAGTGGAACAGTGTGAGATATCATCACGCTACTTGTTTAACATTTTCGGACCGGGGTTGACCACTGGTAACCGAATCCATGGAAAGCGAAACCAGGGATAAGGGAAGGAGGAAGAGCTACTGTGTGAACTCCCCTTAGTCTCCCAAACAACCCTATGAGGTAGATAGTATTATCCATGTTTTTATGGATGAGAAACCAAGGTTCAGAGAGGTGAAGTAATTTTTATGTATGGTCACATAGCTCGTAAGTGCTGTAGCTGAGATTTGAAGCTTGACCGCCTGGCTCCAGAGTTCTTTCTTCAGGAGTTTTCTTGGGAAGATAGCCTCTTAGAGAGTATAAGATAATTTCAGGTAGCTCAGTGAATAGAATTTCTACCAGGGAGTCTACATTATTTTTCATTTAAGCTTAATTCGCCTTTTGTATTTTGGGCTAAAATTTAGGGGAGATGACTATTTTCAGTGGTATCATTGGATTTCCTCTACTTTTTATTACTGAGCAGAAAGTAATATACCTTTAATATTTTTGGACATGGAAAACTAAACAGTTGATCTTAACATCATAAAAGGTCATTGCCTCTGAGAAATAAATTTTTTTTTTTGAATTAAAGAATTTTGTAGAAATGTGTATTTAATTTCTTATGGCTCTGTGTACAGCTGTATTTCCTCGATAAAAGATCTTCAGTGTGTCAGGATATTCTTTTTATTTTAAAGTAAATCCAAAAAAACCCAAACCCATTGCAATTGAGTTGATTCTGACTCATAGCAACCCTATAGGACAGAGTAGAACTGCCCCATAGGGTTTCCAAGGCTGTAAATCTTTACAGAAACAGACTGCCACATCTTTCTCATGTGGAGCAGCTTGTGGGTTCGAACGACCACCTTTTGATTAGCAGCCAATCACTTAACTATTGTGCTATTAGGGCTCCTTTAGTGTAATTCAAAATGTGCAACACGTAATTATAAATTTCTAGGATATTTTATTCTCTGAAAGCTGTTAAATTTAATAGGCAAAAATATGAATAAATACTAGGATTTTTATAGCAGCCTTAAGTTTTCCTTATGGGAGAAAGATACGACAGTCTACTTCTGTAAAGATTTACAGCCCTGGAAAGCCCATAGGGCAATTCTGCTCGTCCTGTAGGGTTGTTATGAGTCGGAATCAACTTGACAGCAATGGGTTTGGTTTGGTTTGATATTTAAGCTTTCCTTAAGAAAGCTAATGTAATGTAAGTAGTATTATCTCTTGTATAATTATGTTTGGACAGGAGTTTTTGTTTAGTTTTGAATTTAGAATATCTGACTTGTTTAGATTTTGTGCATAAATGTGTTCTTTTCATGTTGAAGTTTCTAAAGCAAGTATTTTAATGAAATTATGATCTTTCTCTTAGGTTAAATAGTTGTTCTGGTCTCATACTGAAATTAGTCACTTTCTGGGTACTAGTTTTTTGTTTGTTTTTAATCTCTGATTTTGCATTATAACTGGGTAAGAACTTTAGAATTCACACACCAAAGAAACAGAATATTATCTGTAAGAATGTAGGATGCCTGTTCTATTAAATGCCCCCCAAGAAGATATAATGCATAGCTATAGTTAATGCATTTATTTTATATATGTTAAATGTAAATGTGCTAACTGAAAGGTTCTAGGTTCAAGTTCATCCAGAGATGCCTCATAGAAGAAAGGCCTGGCGATCTGCTTCCAAAAAATCAGCCATTGAAAGCCCTATGGAGCACAGTTCTACTCTGACTCACGTAGGGTTGCCATGAGTCAGAATCAAACTGGATGGCAACTGTAAAAAATAAACTTAAATGTGGCACCGATAATCAGAAGAAGGGAAAAAATCCATGATAGTTTTATTCCCTCTACTTTTTAAAAACTTTTTTTTTAATTATTAAGGAATTTTTTATTCAGCAATTATAAGCTCTCCTTTTATTTCCACTTTTTATTTACTTAGTTGTCTGTATTTAGTTCTGTTAATTTTTAGCCATCTCCGAGCCTAGATAATGTATCAGTTTTTCCCTTGATACATTGCTTTTAGTAATATTCTTTGTTTCTTTTTTCTGGTGAAATTTACAAGAGCTTTTGTTTAAAGGTGGTGGTTGTTAGCTGCCTTGGAGTTGCCCAAACTCATAGTTACCCCATGTATAACGGAAAGAAATTCTGCCTGGTCCTGTGCCACCTCCATGACTGGTTGTAGATTGTACCATTGTGATCCTTAGGATTTTCATTGACTGATTTTCAAAAGTACATTGCCAGCCTGTCTTCCTAGCTCATCTTAGTCTGGAAGCACCACTGAAACCTGTTCGCATCATAGCAACATGTAATCCACCACTGACAGACTGGTGGTTACTGCGCATGAGGTGCATGGGCCAGGAATTGAACATAGGCCGCTCTCATGGAAGGGAGAATTCTACCACTGAACCAGTGTTGCCCTTTGTCCTCTAGAGGAGTGAAAAAATGGAGCGGGAAGTCAAATCAAGAAAGGTCATTTTATTTGTGGTGTTTGTGTATGTATCTGTGTGTTTAATGGAAATTACTTGAGACGTATACTGTAGGATTCAGTGTGGTTTAGAGCTCGGCTGCTAACCAAAAGGTTGGCAACTCGAATCCACTGGCTGCTCCTTGGAAACCCTATGTGGCAGTTCTATTGTCCTATAGGGTTGCTATGAGTCAAAATCGACTCAACGGCAACCAGGTTTTCTTTTTTTTTTCTTTTTTTAATAGGGGGAGAAATTCTTGAAAGGGAGAGAAGGTATAATTGTAGGTACAATGTCCTTGACAAGGCAAAGGTGTTGGAAGTATCAAAGTGAAAGAGTTGGCCATAAATAGGAGTATGGGCACTTTGTAGGAAGGAAAGCCTAGAATTTGGATACAGATACAGGTAGGTTTTAGATATGTTAGTAGGTTAAGTGAGCACTTGTTTTTTGGTTTCAAGTTATCTCAGAGACCTCTGAGTCCGAGTTTCTCAATCCTGGCACTATTGACACTTGATAATTCTTTTTTTTTTTTATATTTTATTGTATTTCAGGTGAAGGCTTACAGAACAAATAGTTCTCATGAAACAGTAGTACACATGTTGTTTTATGACATTGGTTAACAACTCCACAACATATTAACCCTCTAAATTCTCAACCTTTTTTTTTTTTGGTGAAAATACACATAGCCAAAGATACACCGTTTCAAAAATTTCTACATATACAGTTCAGTGACATTGACTACGCTCTTCCAATTGTGCTGTTATTCTCACTTAAGATGAAGGCTTACAGAACAAAGTAGTTTCTCATTTAACAGTTACTACAACTGTTGCCCTATGACAATGGTTAACAATCTCACAACACATCAACAATATCCTTACTCAACCTTGGGTTCCCTATCACCAGCTTCCTTGTCCCCTTCTGCCTTCTGGCCCTTGTCACTGGACTCCCGTACCTCGTTAGTCTCATTTGGTTTTACGGGGCTGTCCACTCCCAGGCTGAACAGTGAACCTCGGAGGTAACTTCACCACTGAGCTAAAAGGGTGTCTGGGGGCCATACTCTCGAGGTTTCTCCAGTCTCCTTTAGGCCAGTAAATCTGGTCTTTTTATTTGGTGAGTTAGAATTATGCTCTACATCCTTCTCTAGCTCAGGGCTGATAATTCTTTGTTTTGGGGGGCTACCCTATGCATTATGGATGTTTAGCAGTATTCTTGGCCTCTACCATTAGGCTAGATGCCGGGAGCACCCCACCCCCAGCCTCTGCAGTTGTGACAGCTAAAATTGTCTCAGACATTGCCAAATGTCCTCTGGGGGAAAAATCACCTCTGATTGATAACCACTGAGTTTATTAGGTAAAAGTGAGGAGAGTCATGTTGTGGGTTTGAGAGCAGAGAGTTTTACTTATGTAGTGCTGCTAAACTAGAAATACAATAAGTGGGTGGCTTTAACAAACAAATTTATTTTCTCACAGTTTAAGAGACTAGAGGTCTGAATTCAGGGTGCTGTCTCTAAGAGACTAGAGGTCTGAATTCAGGGTGCTGTCTCTGGGGAAAGGCTTTCTCTCTCTGTTGGCTCTGGAGGAAAGTCCTTGTTTCTTTGAGCTTCTGCTCCTGGGCAGTCTTCATGTGGCTTGGTACCTCTTTTCTCTCGTCTTTGCTTCTCTCACGTGCTTGTTTAATCTCTTTTATATCTCAACAGAGATTGATTTAAGACTACACTAATCCTGTCTTATTGACATAACAAAAGAAAATCCATTCCCAAATGTGATTATAACCACAGGCACAGAGGTGAGGATTTGCAGCATATATTTTTGGGGGACACAATTCAACCTATAACAGAATTTCAAAAAGTCATCTTGAAAAATGAGAAAGGGAATTTACACATGAGTCCCGCTACATCTTTGTTCTATGGAATTCACATTCTTTTCCATTCTTCTGAAACATTCTCCTTTAATATTCTCACACTTTCAGTAATCTTGATCATTTCACATTCCTTTGGGTCTTAAATGACCTTGAAGTTCCTTTTGGTTTCTACTTTAGGAAGCACTTGTTTATAAAACATATCAAGGGCAGAGCAGGACTCAAAATGTAGAAGCAAAGTTTTATAAACTAAGCTCTCTTGATAGTACTACATCAAATACTTTGGAGGCAAAACAATGTATAAAAGCCAAGTATACTAATAGTACTTGAGTGATGTTGTATATTTTACACATATTTGTGGCTCTAAAATAGTAACAGTAATACTCTCTCATTGCCAGTAGATTTGGGTAAACAGAAGAATCCTGTAGAGTAAGAGATGCTAAGTTTCAATGATTCATTGGCTTTCAATTACTTCTAGACTTCCAACTTTTAGTTTTTTTCTGAGGCTGAGCTCTTTGCCAGTTTTAAATTTAACTTTAAAATGATTCTCAATGGGGACATTACTGCCTCCTCGGATTTTCTTAGAAACTGGTGGAATTTTTATATTGAAAAAAGGGATCTCCCATTGATACATTCTTAATTTGATTATCTTTAATTTTTTTTTATCTTTTGTATTGATGCATAAACAGTTACTAAAGAAACAGCTCACAGAAGCTAAAGCTTTATGCACGTATTCATTTGGATAGTTGAATTATTGATGAAAAAATTTCCAAACATTGCATCTCCCCCTCCACCTGGCTCTTTCCATTCCCTTGTGATCAGCGTTACTTACATTTTCCTTCCATTTTTTTTTTATATTATGTATGGGATGTATGTATTACTTGTTTTAGACAAAGATTGCATTGTGTTAACTACTGGTCCGCAGCTTGTTCTGTTTCTCCCACTCAGGAGTACTTCACAGGTCTTGATCTATGCTAGTTCATGCAGATCTGTCTCATTCCATGTTTTGAATGTACAATAATACATTTTACCATTTCTTCCATGAGCATTTAGATTGTCTCCAGGTTTTCTTCCTTTTTTTTTTTTTTAACATTTGAAATGCCACTACACTGAATACCCTCAATGAGATGGATTGACACAGTAGCTGCAATAGTGGGCTCAAACAGCAAAAATGTGAGGATGGCGCGGGACCGGGCAGTGTTTCGTTCTATTGTGCATAGGGTTGCTGTGAGTCGGAACTGACTCAACACTACCTAACAACAACAACACTGAATAATGTTGGGTCAGGGGCTTGGGTGACTCACAAGTCACCCAAACATTTGTCCTTCCTCCTCCTCACTTCACCTGCTTTTTCTTACCTTTCTTAAAGTGCTATTGAATATATATTTAGCTTCTTGCAGTTTTTCAAATCCTTTATCTATGTTTCCTCTCTCCCTTCCTTCCTACTATTTTCTCTCCTTTTCCCTAGAACTTCCTCTTTTCCTTCAGGTCTTGGCTTAGTCATTTTTGGGAAACTATCCCTTTTCTCCAGTGTAAGTTAGGTGCTTCCTGCTCACGTGTGGCCCCAGAACTGTGTGTCATCTTATCTTGGTACTTAACTATTGAAAACTGTTTGTCTGGCTCTCACTTCTTGACATCATGGACCGTACTTTGTTGTAGTTGATTATACATATTACATATAAAACCCTAATTATAATTGTTAAGCAAGTGGATGTTTCATTATTTTTACTGTTTTCCTTTTTATCCTAGGACTGGGCTAATGCTAATGTCAGCAGACAGATCGAGGACACTGTATTATATGGTTACTATAGTAAGTATCTTTCAGTTTCATTTCCTATTTGGACTGCAGACCAAAATGTAGAATAAAGCTATGTCTAATCTTTTAATGTTGACATCACATGTAAGATTTTTTTTTCTAATTAATGCAACAGTCATTCTCATGATTCTGAAACTTCTTTAACCTACTTTGCTTCATTTGGGTTCATCTGTACTGCATTTTATAAACCCTGGTGGTGTAGTGGTTAAGAGCTATGGCTGCTAACCAGAAGATCGGCAGTTCAAATCCACCAGGTGCTCTTTAGAAACTCTATGGGGCAGTTCTGCTCTGTCCTGTAGGGTTGCTATGAGGTGGAATCGACTCGATGGCAATGGGTTTGGTTTTTTTTTGGTACATTTTTGTGGTGGTTCAGTCAAGTTAGTATAAATGTCAGGTCTCTTTCAATTGTTTTCATTAGCAATTTCCCATGCTTAAGCTTTTTATTTAAAATCTCAGTATTCTAGAAACCTTTTCTGGCTGTTGACACTAGTAGAGTGTGCTATACTAGGGAATTTGTAGAATCAATTTCATTGTCCTCTAACAGAGCTGGTTTAATCCAGGGGATTATGGCTGGTTCTTCCTTCTTCTCCAATTTAGATTATAAAAGCTGTATAATAATCACCTGAATATTTCCAAAAATTTCTTTTTGAGTAAATATGGGACTATTGCTTTTATAAAAACATGTAAGTGCTGAGTTGGGAAAGGGATGTCATTTTTTCAGCAATAAAGCAAGATAGTAAATAAGGTTTCAGTAGAACATTAAATTGAAAGCTGAAAAAAATCTACAGAATTTTCTATGGATGGAATAATTTTCAAGTGTATCATTCAACTTTAATTTAGCTCCTTTGGCTCTAATCTTTCCGTTATCTAAAAACACATAGGACCTATAGAATTCTATTCCTTTGGTGTAGATTTTAGAAAAATTTTTATGGTATTTAAGAAAATACCATTTAATAAATGGCTCTGGGGATGTTACCAATGGGCATGGTTAGTAGCATTGGGCTCCCAAGGCAGCTTCATAAATCCTATGGAGACCTTTTAAATAATACTGAATCTCAGACTCTATCCAGAAAGATTCTGATTCAGTTTGGTGTGATATGCAGCCTGGGACTCTACTATTAAAATATTAATGGTGCTTATTCTGATTTTGGCACAGCCAAATTTGGGAACTAGTGGCCTAAATCAGTGATTTCTCATAACTTGCTTCATGTGCATGTGTAAGATGAAGTGGGAGAGAGGTTGGGGGTGGGTAGGAAGGGTAAGTACTGAATCAGTGAGACATACTATGCTTGTAAGTGTCTTCTGTATTGAAATTCCATGAATGTTTTCAAGACAGAAACTTTCTGCTACAAATTTTTTGCAATTACTTTTCTAGAGTATTAAGACTAACACTCAGGTGCTTAATTAATGATAGAGTGGGTTTTATTCATATTTCCTTTCAAAGAGCTATTGCTGAAGGTTTTTTTCTATACTTGTCTGTTTTTCTAGGTGCCAATTTAGGTGCTAGTTTAGGTATTAGTTGATTTTCTATAGTAGAGAAACTGGTTAAAAAGCTTAGGTTTCTTAAAATAATGTTAGTCATCTTCTTCGATTAAAATGTTTAGGACTGTTAACTACCTTCAAATTACTGATTGAACTCTATACCCCCACTTCTGAAGTGGTTCTTGGAATTGGGGCAGATAAGCATTTCTGAAAGTATTTTCTGTAATCAGTACTAGTTCTACTAAATGCCATGAAAAGAGATGGGGAGGAAGGGAAACTGTGGTCAGATTCATTTAGGAAATGGTCTTCATTTCACTTACAAATAAATAGACTAAGTAATGTTGGAAATGGTGAATATGACAAACCTAAAGATCTTCTGGGCAGTGATTCTGATGTTCTGCCTTTTAATTTTTCCCTCTTTGTCATATACTCCCAGTTGAGATATTCTGGGAGTGAGAAACACTGAAGAAGAAAAGGAAGAAAAATAATAAAGATAACCATCGTGGTAGGAGAGAAATGTGCACTTATATAGTTAGAAATTAGTCTTCATAGTATAATGGAATATTAGAGAGAGTTCTCCTGATACAAACTCCCACTCAGTTGGTGAATCTTAAAACTGTTTATGATGTGCTTTTCCCATGGGGCTGTGAAGAATTACAGGATTTGGAGATTGATTGACTATTGGGAAGAAGACAGAGTGAGAACTAAAAGTTGATAGTATTGTGAGCTAGGATGACAAGAAAATAGTGGCAGCAGTGTTAGAAATGAAACTGTGAGAACCTGTCTGCTCAGAAAATTAGTTTGGTTGATTCATAGCTAATCTTATAGCATCTTAATTTGGTCAAGTGCAAAGTTTCCTACCTTTCCTCTAAGATCACTAAGTTGAGTGTGTATTTCCTGTTTGTAAAGACAAAGTGATTAATTCATGTTTCTCTTAAGAAAGTTACAGAGAAAAAATTGGTTAATTATTTAAAATCAGCTTTACAAATGTTGTCCAGTAGACCCATTTATATTATCTTTGGGTTAATACTGTCTAAGGATGCTAACTTTTAAAAATTGGATTGAAAAAGTTGAGGGTCATTTGACAGCGGATTTATGTTTAAGAAGTATTCCTTTGGACTTGTACATGTTAGCCTAGAATGTGTACCAAGTAATTTCAGTAATCCTTCAAATAAAGTTTCTACTAAGATTTGTCCTTTTGGACTAATATTAAGATAAGATTAAGGAAATAAATGGTTCTTGAAGTTTTCTTGTTAATCCTTATTTTGTAAGACTTTTTATTCTTTTAAAATTATCCACCTGATGTTTATGAATATTTTTAATGCAAGAATAAATGTTTCAATTTGCTGTAGCTTATATTTGGAATGAGAGTTTTCTACAAATGTTGAAATAAACTTGAATCCAATATAATTTCTTAACAAATGGGATGAATAACTTTTGTTGCAAAACAGTTGGTATTTGACAATTCAAAAGCAGTTTATATTTGACAACTGAGTCACACTTGAGTTCAATTGTGTTTCATAATTTATGGGTCCCTTTGGCTCAACCAGGAATCTTAACATGCTGTATCAGTGGTCCTCAAACTTTTTTGGTTTCAGGAACTCAAAGATCTTTCGTTTATGTAGGTTATATCTATGTTATATACTGTATTGGAAATTAAACCTTACTGAGGTTTCAAATAGTTATTAGTTATTTAAAAATAGCAGTAATAAATCCATTATATGTTAACAGTAATAACTAATTTTTAATGAAAAATACTCTTTTCAAAAATAAGTGAGAAGGTTGGTATCTTTGTTTTTGCAATTCTCTTCAATGTCTGCATTACTACGTTACGACTGCTTCTGCATTAATTCTGTTGCAATACATTTTTTGACTGAACTCCGTGAAGAAAGTCAGCTTCATACAGATGATGTAATTGGAAAAGGAAGGAGTTACACTTTTCAGACAGTTGTGGCTATTCTTTCATACTACACCAGAACTTTACCAGTGGTACTTTCTCAAAGGTTAGTTGCAATGTGCAGTCTGAAGCCATACCACTGAACATTTCTTACTCCATTACGTTAAAATCCATTTATTCATTTGCATTTTGGATGGATCTTTTACTCATGCCTAATTTTTAACATCATGTATCGGCCATTTGGAAAATATTATTCACAGAATAATATACGTCTTCCAAATGTTGACACATTTCATCATACACCACTATTCTCATCAGCAAAGTCTTTATGCATTGCGAAGGTGGTGGTGGATTGGATCCAAGGTGTTTGATTCAGGTTTTCCAAAATTCTAATTTTCTCTTGAAAGCTTGAGTTTTATCATAGGCAGCAAATACTACTTTTACTTGATTTCTTTGAAGTGACAGGCTCACTTTATTTTTGAGAAGTCTGCTAATAATAACCAAGCATCTTAGTTTTCTAGGGCTGTCATAACAAAATACCGTAAAGTGGGTTGCTTTAAGAACAGAAATTTATTTTCTCACAGTTCTGGAAGCTAGGAGTCTGAATCCAGGGTATTGGTGGTGTTGATTCCTTCGGAGGGCTTTGAGAAAGGAACTGTTCCATGCCTCTCTTCCAGCTTCTAGTGGCTGCTGTCAGTTCTTGGAGTTCCTTTGCTGCTTGTAGATGTATCTTCACATGGCATCTGTCTTCTTCCTGTGTGTGGCCTTCTCTCTGTGTCTGTTCTCCCCTTTTATAAGATACCACTTGGAAGGGATTAGGACTAGGACCCACCCTATTCTAGTATCACATTCATAGGTACAGGGATTAGGACTTCAGCATATCTTTTTTGGGGATGCAATTCAATTTATAATACCAAGTCTGGATAACCATAACCTGTCTATCAGTTTGTTTGTTTTTTAATACTTTATTAAGGTGAAATTCATATAATATAAAATTAACCATTTTAAAGTAAACGATTTAGTGGTATTTAGTACATTCCCTAATTTGGGCAACCACCACCTCTATCTAGTTTCAGACACTTCTATCCAAAGTAAAACCCTTTACCCATTAAGCAATTTCTCCTCATTTCTTCCTCTCCCCAGCCCCTGGCAATCATAATCTGCTTCCTAACTCTATGGATTTATATATTCTGGATATTTTGTGTAAATGGGTTCATACAATATAGGACCTTTGTGTCTGACTTCTTTTACTTAGCATAATAGTCTGGAGGTTCATCTACCTTTTAGCGTGTATCAGTACTTCATTCCTTTTTATGGCTGAATAATATTTCTGTGTTTGTGTGTGTATACACACACCACAATTTGTTTATGCATTCATCTATTGATGAACATTAGAGCTATTCCTGTTGGCTGTTCTTTCAAGTAAAAATACTATTCTATGAAAAAAGTGACTAGTTTAGCTTGCAACTCAAGTGGCTCAAATGCTTTTCCTTGAGATGACCATCATACTTCAGATGTCAAAATGCCTTATGTGTACTTCTCTTTTCTTCACACAGAATATTAAAAAGATGCATACTCAAGGGTAGACATTTAACAAAATATTTATTGCTTCAAA